CTCACAATCCATGCACAATTCCTTATGAACACCGTCCCAGAACCAAATTACGGATCGCGTTCCGCCTAGGCCTACCAAGCTTGCATCTTTAGAGTCGATTAGTTAGTACCATAACACTCTGGGAGGATAGAGCACTTGCTACATTAGCAGGGCCCTTGCAAGTTGCGTCTCATCTAGAATGCGAAAAAAATGGGCGCACAGTGCGTGGCGTATCCAAAAAGCATTGATCAACGCCAGAGGGCATTGCAATTTCCTGCTGCGAATGACAGTTTTGACAAAAGCCGCTCGTGACTAGGCGTAACACAATGTAGTTTTAGTTGAAGATTCTCACTCATTGTCTAGACGCGCCACTTTGCATTCCTTTAGAACGTATCGAAAACACGTCCATCAAGATCAAAACATTCACGGTTGATAATTTTTGCTGGACTTGATTGTGGACGGCGAATGAAAGACGTCAAAATGACCACAAAAACCTTTGCATGTTCTGAATTCGTGGTCGAATCTTGATGCAAAATTCTGGAAAGCTTGGACGCATGGCGCACCTTAAATCAAATTCTCAACGAGTACGCTTTGTTGATCTCTCCCAAATGTGTGCACCCCCCCCCCATAGTCGGTAGTGAATCTAGTGATGCTCTAGATGAGTTATTTAGGCTTAGCGATCCACTGACCCACTCATATGATAAATGTTACAGACTTTCTTCTGGAAGTTCATGATAACATTTAATGGTGCCTTTTCGCACGAGGGTGGCGCCACAGATTCCTCCCACCGAACTTATGAAAAATTCCACATAAGAGCTATACAGTATCAATTTAGTAGCCCTAAACAAGATCCACGCTATTTAGTGCTAGGTTGACAATGAATGACTTTTATGTTCACGAATACATAAAAACAGAATACCACCGATAATTTTAACGAACTTTCGAAAATATCTTTCCGCCGCCGTTTCACGCAGTATTATAAGACCAAAACAAGTTCATTCTTATTCATTCCAACCCTTTTAGGTGCACTTGGGCCAACACGATCCATGTTAACTGAAGGTATGATCACCTGATGTGACTCTATGCATGAAACAAGGCTTATTCAGAAGTTTGGTATTAGGAATCAAAACGTTTCACTTTTCAGGACCTCTCGGTACCTTTCGTTTCGGAAAACGCAGTGGCAGGCCAGAAAGACTTTCTCGAATCGATCAAGGGAACTGAAGAATTGCGTTCATTCTGACAGACAATTTCTTGAATGGATTGTTTCGAGTTCTACAGCGATCCACAATTCATGTAATGCGCTAATTTTCAACAAACGCCCATTATCCAACAGATATAAACATTTGAACGTTAAAAGAGCATTGACATCGAAAGTGCTTGGCAGAATGAAGGCATGCGATTCCTGTGATTGGTGCATTGCTTACAGTAACTAATCACATGTAAACTGCAGCAATAGGTATTGCAGTGAGAACACCCATCATCAGTCTCCCCTAAGTTGACAAGGTGTTACGTACTTTATGCGAAAAATTAAGTCCTTTCGAAATGTTATAGTTCGAAACTTTTGAATTTGTTGCAAGACTGAAGAGAATATAAAGCGAAAGTCGCTATGCTGTTTACAGGAGTCGTACTACTAAGTTGAAGAAAACAATTCCGTGCACACGCGAGCAGAAAAAAAATTTCATCCTATCAATAGAGTATTGATTGAATGAATCGCCTACAAAAAATCGCAATTCCATCCCATCCAGAAATCAGTGGCTTGACACCCACCATTCATGATAGGAACAGAAAAACAAAAAATGCGTTGTTATCCAAACTCAAACGCTTTAACCCAGTTCTTTTTAAGCGTCAGCTGATAGTGACTGCCCCAAGGCGCACTTCTTTCCATTGTTTCCCCGCTCCGCCCCACCTACCCGCGACCCTCCCCAGAGTGGCGGCCTTTCGCTAGGCTTGTTTATCTTCGAAACTGATCTCCTTGCTAAAACTGTGGGCTAAGTGCTCCCACTCTTGGACTCAGTGATTCACAACTGACAAATCCAGGTTGGGAAAGAGTGGAAACTCCTTTGACTTACATTTTCAAAGGCACTATCGTAAAGCTACTTATTGTGCATCAAGTTATGAATAGATCTGATTTTTCAAGGCGTTTAATCCTTAATCTTATAAACGAATTGATTTCTGACGGCACCTATTTCTGGTCGAATTTGGATATTCTTTTGACCCCGTCCCCTGGATATTTAACTAAATACAATTACATGAGAAGATATAGTATTATATATAGCAGAAAGCTTTAGTCCCCGCCCACCAAGATTTTGGGTCGAATCCATCTAGGTCCACATTGGTATCAGACTAGGCCAGAAGGGTGAAGAAACATGTGACATGCGTTCGAACGTCTACGACTCCAAATGGGGCCAAATACGCTACTCCAGGGGAACGGTACGGATCAATCAGATCTTCCTTTCTCTGAATACCACTTCTGATCCGTTTCCATTCACTGGACTCTCCAATAATATGAAATTCTGTACAGCACATTAAGTGTGCCCCAATCTTTAGCGTCAACAGGTCACTTCTTTCTCACCCAATTCTCTTTTGATAGACCTCTATATGCTACGTGATCTTGCGAGCACCTCTTTCAACCCATGGTCAGCCATCGAGGTCCACCAACTTGTGGAAGGCTTCACTACGAGTTTCACGCTTTGCACAGGTGCATGCACAGATATAAAATAAAGACAATTTCCTCCAGAAGGACACAGGAATACAAGAAGGCGATTTGATTGAAATGGTACTTGAAGAGTGTAAGTTCAGTCCCTTCTACTTTATGCACCGTACAGATAGCTTTCAATAACTGCAACATTTTCATAACGGGGGGATATAAGCGCAACTTATGATCACTTCCAGTTACCCTAACCGGCATAAAACAAATCAAATCTCCACAAACTACACCTTCCTAAAATTGTATTTAGGGTCCCTGCGGTGGCATGCGAAAATTATGTAATCCTATTATCATACTTTCGCACACCACTTTCACTTGCCTTAAACAGTGGTGCTTTTGTAGAAGAATATATTTTTGAATGTGGGAGCGTATGTACCTTGGCGCTGGCTCATGGGGGGATTACTGGAAAAAAGGAACGGCGATGCCAATATGCCCATGATGCGGATGTGCTCTCGAGGATGACCATGAACACACGGAGGCCTCATTTCATCTTCAGATTTTCTGATTGCACACTCAACCTCCAATTTGGTCATCCAAATAAGGCCTCAACAACAGCGTTTTTTTCCTTGACACAGCGCAATCGTGAAAGATAAATGAGTGTACGATGCCCACCCCAATATTCTCACGTATTATTCAGTAAGCTTTCTCCTCTCAACTTCCACTATTGGCATGATCACGTCATCAATGAGTCAATACATTTCCAAGCTTTTGGCAAGAAAATATCCAGTCGATTTCAATACAAAAACGAACGGAAAACTTTTCATCAAGAAAAAGCCTAAATTACTGAAATTAAACCAATACACTGAGTCAAGTTGAACAAAACGCCACTGCACTGCTCTTCTTGCTAGCTCACCGAGAT